AAACACTGTAAGCCACTACAGGCCATGGTGGTAGGCACTTTGCCACTTCAGTAGGCAATGACACACTGTTGGAAGACAGTAAGAAACCCACGGTGACAGCTCTGCCTGCCCCACTCCTTGAAGGAGCTTCTTGACACCGATCTCCTAAAAGCTGCCTTTCTTCAACCACTGCTTTACAGTTTGGAAATAGCAAATGGTAACCAGGCACCTAGACACCCAGGTAGGAAGCCAGTGCATGGAAGAACAGTGTGAGAATCACACTAACTGCTTCTCAAAAATGAAACATCCATTGAGTCATGATAAAGGAATTTCACAATTTGCTTACAAATAAAGCCGTGCACAATTGTAAGGAAACGCTGCTGCCATGCTGCTGCCATTAAGAGTTCAGTTTAAAAGGTGACAATCCCACAATTAGCTGTGCTTAGGGTTATGGACCCACCTGCACAAAGCTCCTCACAGGTCAGACGTGTGTCCCCTTACAGAAGATTGCATAGCTGTTCTTTATTTCACCTTTCCCCTCTCAGACTTAGAAATTTACAAACGTGATCACCCATTTCCATGTACACAGTTTGCCCATTTATTTCAGACAATAGATGGTAGAGTTTGGAGTTTTTTTAATTCCACCAAGAATGTTAATCTAGCTTCAAAGGTAAAGAGAAATACTTCTGGCTGCTTTGTTCTCCCTTTAGTCATGCCAAACAGTAGTTGCTAAAATGGGAACAAAAGATGTATAAAAACAGGTTCCACTAGCAACTCCAAAAAGGCACGTATCTTATGCCAAAATTGAATCCTTTTGTCCCACCATGTTTATGGCTTCTATTGCAGGGAGGGGATTTTGGCAGAGGGTAATGGCTGGGTTTTTTGGGTTTTTTTTGCATCAAAGAGCAGATCATCAGGATAGTATTGTCAACACTGCATTCGAAAGAAAAATATTCTGGATTAAAGTTTCATTTTTAACCTTAACTCTTTCTGTTTTGAAGTTTTATGCACAAATTCCACAGGTTTCTTGGGGGAAATACACCACAATACACCACCTATGAAAGCAGGAAGTCTATCATACACATACTTACAGGAGACCAAAATACACTGAAGATATAAATCCTGCAAAACAGTATTTTTCATAGTAGACTTTGCAAGGGAATAGTGTTCTTTATCTGATGTTTTTCTCTTTAACAGTAGCTTCCCAAGGGATTTTTGTGGCAGAGGGGGAAGGGGAGGTTAATTTGTGTTTTTCTTTAATTAAAAAGGGGAAACGTGATCCCATTACAAGCAACTACAACACTGGGTTCACCATGCATCAAGGTTTGCACTTCTAACTATTATCAGGAAGCAAGAACATGCATCACCTCTACAACAGGAGTAAGACTCCTACTTGCTGCTAACATCAGCTAGATCCTGAGGAAGAAGCACTGACTCTGGAATACTGCCTGTGCAAGCTAGTCCCATGCTTGCTTTCTCCTACGCTCTTCTCCCCCATTCCCTTCTTCAACCAGGTAAGAAAAGGAAGAAATAGTCATTGGAACCGTTGGCCAACCCCAAAGTATCCAACATGTAAAGAGACCTGACTCAGCACTCCCACCCCTCATCACACCAGCTGCCCTGGAGGTTTGCAAGCAAGGAAAGGAAAATTTCACTTTTGGAAAAGTCTATCTTTCAACAGCAGGCCAACCAGAAGGCTCATCTCAGAGCTTCCTCCTTGACAAATTTCAAAGGCCAACTGCAGACAATAGAGGTGATGGAGCTTCTCAAAGGTTTTGCATCAATTTTATATAATGGGAAACATGAAGCAAGCTAACCTAAACACAGAGGTCACTAGCAAACTTTTCTGCAATATGAAGGAACAAATTGTTCTTGCAGCTCTGCATAGCATCTGGCAAAAGATAGCAGCATTTCTTTTTCCAGTGGAGCAACAGATTTTAACTGCGCCTTTAGGTTTATGTTAATAGTGACTTATGGAATAATTCCTTGAAGGAAATAAACAGCTTACATGCAAATATATTTGTGTGCATAAACCACAAATAACTTATGCACTGAATTTTACAGCTTCATAGTACAGATTTTCATAAAGCACTGCAAGAGTTCCAAGTTGCATAGCTCAAGTTTCTGAATTACAATTAGAATGCAAAGCAAGATTCTAAGGAACTACATTCACTTTCACAAATCCATGTTTTGTTATTCCACATAATAACTAATGTTATCAGCATTATCTTGAAAGTTTTCCCAAAAGATTTCACATTAAAATACCAAACCTTAAGAAATTTACCTTAGGTTTTAGGAAATGGTTGACACTCACTGGATATTACGCCATGGATCCCTCTCCTGTCAGCAACCAAGAGCAACCAGAATAGATACAAATGAAGAGGGGACTGAATGCCCCAACTTTTTTATTGGATCACAATGAACAACAATATGCTAGATATACACCCGCTGAATGCTTTTTAGAAATTTTGTTTTGGAAATAGTGGGTCATTTAGTTGTGCTCTCCCTCATCCTGACAGAACTAAATTGAGTTGCTAACGTTAGTTTTCAATAGTCTAAATGTATCCATCAAATTCTTCACAACGACTGTCTATAGCTGTATGCTACTCCATGAACCATTTAGGCAATAATGAACAAAAAGACAAGCTTTTGTTCACATCACCCACAGTGGGATTACATGTGAACTGACCCTCCATGTGTTAATTGAAGAAAAAGCTTTGCTTTGAGCTCATTACCGCTCTTACAGACAGATTGGCAAGTTTAGAAAGTTTCATTTCTCAATTTCTAGATCTAGGTAGCTTGTTTTAAGAATACAGATACACACCAGGAAATAAGACAAGGTTTCATAGCTTTCATCACTACTTGCAGTGCAAAAGAAAAATATAGTGCATATGCAAAGAAATTGATAGGAAGAGAGAAAACAAAACCAGATCTTTGGCAATTTCACAACGGTTTTGCAACATTTGTGACAAGCTTTAATAAAGAAAAGAGCAGGCAAGTTTTCCTCCTAAATACATTAATCAGTGTCTTGGAAAAAAAAAAAAAAAAATAAGCAGTCCCTGAGAATAAAAAGACTGACCATTTCACCAGTTCACCAAGCGTTCGATATTCTAGAGCCACTGACATGAAGGGAAGCATGATTATGTCTTAACTGAGACTTTAAATAGTGCATTTCAGAAAGCACAGTACAACTACCTTGTTTTATTATATTTGTAGAGAAAAGAATACACCAGGTTTCTGAAACATAATTAAAAGTTGTTTTTTGAGACTAAGGCACCAACTCAGACTTGAACATGTTTCTAGTCACCACATTATTCCAGGACATCACCCTTGCAAGGATTTGAATGAAAAGATGAGAAATCAGAAGGGGGATGGGATCTACAGGAATGTTTGTACTTCCTCCATTTCTGCTTAATCCTGCCAAGTAGTGTTCTAGATTTCTATGCCAACATTGTAATTTTCTTTACCAAATAATAACTAGATTACTAGGAAATGAGCCCAGTTAGGAGGAATAAATATCAAGTTTCAAAGTTTGGCAGCAAAATATAAAGCAAAATAGCATGAACAAGCACTTCTGTTAATTTTTTTGTTATTAAAAAAACAGGAACTACTAACTAAAGCCAGTTTTCCTGCTGGTCTAATCAGTGGGAACAAATTTTTTTGTAAATTAAACCAGGAAACTTTCCTCTAAAAAGAGGTTCTCATACATGAAGCAGAACAGTAGTAGAAAAAAGCTGCTAAACTGCATGAAAATAAAATTACTACAAATCTGGTAAATCCTGGCAAACACTAAGTGCTTAGAATTCTTTTCAGTTTTAACATTGTCACAGCAACTAGCATCACACAGAACCTGCACTTATTTTTACCTGGGGGCTTTTAGAAGAGCACAGCAACTGTGAAATATAAAAATCTGATTTAATTCCCAAATAATCTCTTTAATGAGCAGGCAGCATTCTCTGGCAGCAAATAACCAAGCAAAGGTCTGCATTACAATTAGAACTCAACCCAAAAGGGACATAGTGAAGGAAGAGATGGGGGAAACAGTCTATTCCACAAATGCCAAGAACAAAAGAGCTATCATTTCATAGGACTCCATTCTTCTGCTGTGTTTTTTCACCCTGAATAAAGAAGGTGCAAATTACTCTCAAAACAAAACAGGTTTTCAGCTCTATGCTTCCTTTACTCTGTAACAAAGTTGATAGCTGCAACAGCTTTTTACTGGAAGTTGATGCAATATGTGTTTGCCCTCATTCTCAGTGAAACCAAATAACGCATGATCTGCAGTGACTACACGTACAGCATCCAGTCAGGACTTGGCTCAAATTTTGTGTATAAAACATCTCTTAGCACTGCACATTTATAAGCAGCTGCATGACGGTTTATGGAGAAAAATAAAATCAGTATAAAGGCCATATATCGGTTTCTGTGATATACAAAAACCCTACTGAAGAGGTTGTGAATAATAATTTTTATAAATTAAAACATGAGGTGAAAACAGCACCCTCTTGACTCTTTGGTCCTTTCAGAGAATGCAGCTCCACAATACATGACCACCATCTGAGAAGCCAGTTTTTACACAGCTTTCTATTCCCATCCTGAAAGTGCAGCTCAGCACCTTCTCAGGGCTGCTGATACAGCTGTTCACCAGCTGTGCTTCGAATCACCAAAATGATCACTTAAAAACAGATACTTTTAACCTAGATCATTTCAGTGACCCAGTTTTACAGAGCAATCTCATAAACACTACAGGCATAAGTGAAAAATGCCAAAAGGTTCTTACATCCTTGGTGAAGTTCTTACAAACATGCACCTCCTCTTTTTACAAAACACAGGCTGCAATAACACCCTCAAAACGCAAGAAGTCCACATGCACAAAAAGCATATCGAAGTCCTGAAGTATCCTATCTTAAGATAGCTTTTACATCTGCCTTAAACTGGTACTCTTGATTCCTCAGATACCTTGGAAGAAATGTATGCCACCTAGTGCATCATTCATAGCCAAGCAAATGGAAGTAACTTACCAAACGTCTGGCAAATTCTTTATTTTCTGAAAGAAATCCATATCCTGGGTGTACCTTGAAAACAAAAAATTCAAGCTGATTGAGTTCTGAAGCCAGACACCAAATTTGCTAGCACCTCTTCAGATACTTGGGAAGGTGAAACGGATCACTAAGCATTTACATATAGTTGAATACCTTAAATTGTCTTAACACACTAATTTATCTGTCCTAAGCCAGGCTGTAAAGACTCACTGGTTGAACTGGCATTTCTGAAACAAACATTTCTTACCTAACTAGGGAGAAAGGTGCTGTTTGCAGAGCAATGGACACTCCCTTTGTTGTTTTGCCTTCTGCTCTTTTTAACTCTGTTTTGCCACATTACTCTCACTGCAGACTTCTACATATGTGCTCATCTGCACTCTTCTCTGTGGCCACTATAAAATACCTCATCCAAAAATATTTCTAGCACTGATACCAACAGTCAGAAGCCTCCTACCTCTAGCGACCCTTGCTGGAGAACATAGCTTACTGTCTCATGAGTCAAGTCATTCATCTTCTCGTGCCTAGTTTGCTATTCACATCCCAGTATACACCTAGCATGATTATTTGAGAAATGTGAGAAAGTCTTCATTTTGCTTTCTGCAATTCACAAAATTCTTGATCCAATATGCTCTGATAGAGTATAATCCATTTTATTCCACTCTTTCAGAGAGGCTAAACAACTATGTTCAGAAACTCCGAGGGAAGGAAATAGTGTCTCCTTTATAGGAAAGTTTTTGGCCCCAAAAGCACTACACCCAAAACATCATCTTGAATATCAAAACCATCTTATTTGAAAGGAATTACAATGCTGATCCAAACTGTTCCAAGGTAATTAGTGTTGCTCATATACACTCAAATTACATTTTAATAAATGCTCCATGTACAGTAGCTCTAAACTACATTTATTTTACTGACAGAACAAAGAACATTAGGCACATGAACATGACTACATATTAGTTTTTCCAACCGATTCCTGTTAAGCTTTGAATCTCTGGCCAGTTTGGAGGGAGAAAGGCAGAACAGCCCACATTTAAGCTAATGTGCATTTTGTAAACATTCTGAAACAAAATTATGAGATGCACTGTTTACCTACCTTCCTGGAAGCAACATATATATATATATCTGAGAAATAGATTCAAATTAAGTTTAGGCAAAAGCCTTTTGGGATACACTTTGTAAAACATTCCAAAAAGCCATTATGGCATATAAAGGGTTAGCGCTCAAAACTAATTGGGATTTTTTTTTTTTCCCTAGCAAATTTGGAAATGAACTGAAGCTGCTCCCTGGTGTGAAAGCTGAATCCAGCAGCCACCTGCAGGATCAGCAACCAGTGCTGCCAGATGCTACAAAGCCTTTGATTTCCAGTAGCGATTTCAGACACATTTAACTCATGTGACATGAACTAACTGGAATAGCATATTCAATCAGCTCCCCCCCCACACCTTTTAAAAAAAAAAATACAAACTCTGGCTTTTCTGCTTTCTATATGTGAAACAGCTGCAGCAGATAGACTCATTCAGACTCACAGCTTGGGCCCTGGTTTTCTTAATGACTTCCATGATGGCATCCATGTTGAGGTAGCTTTTGCTGGTGGGAGCTGGGCCAACACAGGCAGCTTCGTCCGCCATTTTCACATGAACCTGAGGAGGCAATATTCTGCATTAACAGATGCTCCCAGCAAAAATAATTACCACCACCCTGAAATATGCACACAAATCTGATTGTTGCAAAGATCATTTACATACCATACCCACTTTAAAATACACACTGAAATTGCCAATGCTGACACACAAGAACCCCCTACAATAACATTAAATCTCATTTCATTTAACTCTGAGCTTAAGTCACTGTCAAAGTGTTTTACTATTCCAACATATTATTTTGAATTTGCTTAAATAAAATGACAAATATAATTTCAGCTTCCTATACTGATCATCTATATGTAAATTCAGACTAAAAACTACTTTGTTACATGTAACCAGGGTAGTCTAATATCTTAATACTTAATAACAAACATTCATGACCAGTTCTAAGCAGGCTCCCCAGGAAGTTGGGGATAATTAGAGTGAATTGAATGAAGGGATGCAGTGAGTGTCCCTGCACAGCATCAGGTCAGCACCATGCACAAATTAAAGCCTACAACTAAAGAGTTCAATATCACTACACGTGAACCAGAAAATCTTGAGAATTATTTAAGCAGGCTCATGTTTGATTCCTAATCCATTGCATCCTCATTTATATGCATTTGCCAAACATTTTTCAGTCAAATTTGAACTGTACAAGAGGGCCAAACTTTGCCAACATTTTACCAGGCATAATAAAATCACTAGGTTTGAAGTTACAAGTTAGGTTTGAAATTAGAAGTCTACTTACAACTCATATGCTCACTTACCTTGAGGAAAGTTACCAAGGTTTAAGACCAAACTAATTAAACATGTTTTCAGAGCTCAGAATGCTTTTCCGTTAAAGTAAGATACACACAGACCCAAAAAACAATAGTTTTGTTTCCTTCATTCTGCTCTCCTTTTGTAAACTCCTTTAGTTTATATTTAAACAAATATATTATTGCCTAAACTATTTAAGATGATATTAGCTATGTGTCAGCAAGACTTTACACTGAGAGGTTGACAATGCTTACCAATTCTAGAAGTTGTTTCTTATGAAATATTCAATATCATCTTCAGCATTAAAAATTATGAATACATTGGTTAAAAAGGTATTTTTAGAAAAGCAGTAGTCACACATGAAACTTAAACATTATGAATACAGAATTTTGTTTTTTGTGAAAAGAAGTTTTATTTGCAAGCAGCATGAACACTGTAATATATTATAAGCTCAGGTTAGAAGTAATGTAGCCTGCACATACTACTAACTCATTCAGAAGAAACAAGGCCAGGAAAAAGAAAATCTAGAAAGAGTGACAAGCAGTAGTCAATAGTTTAAATAATACCTGAATATTTATTTCTCATTCTAAGTCTAACAGATATATAACAAGCACAGGAATCACCTAAGCATTTTACTTTTTTATTCAATTTTCACTGACTTTTTTTCTGAACTTTGCAAAAGTTAATCCTACCACCATGAAGGAATGTTAACTTGCCACCTAATTCCAAGTTTCTTTCTGGGGACATCTCTTAAATGCTTCTGAAATTGCTGTACACTCAAGAGTTCACATAACCTCCTGGAATTGCCACACGTTGCACAGTTGAATTACTGCTTCTGTAAAGTCACACTGGTTTTATTTTACCACTGCAGCATCAGCCTCACACTAAGAACAAACCTAGATCAAAAAACCCTAAGCACTAGCACAGACAATCACACAGCAAGATTTAATGATTTTAGTAAGCACACCTCAGCAATTTAAGTCAGCAATCTATTTTGGTCAAACACTATCAAGATTAGCCTGTCTGCCATACTTCTGGAGCACTAGGTACAAGAAATAGCATGGCCCTTGGATATATTTATTTGCATGATCAATGTTTAAAGTTGTTGTTTTGAATTACAACATGGTTTACATGTCTAAAAGATATTCAAGCTTAAGCACAGTTAGCCATGTATGTTTTACAAACCCAAAAGCTTCCTTATAGAAAAAGGCAAACAATACAGTCAGCTGGTTTTAGGTATCTAGACACTTCTCACACAGACCAACATCCCTACTAGTACCAGAAGTAGCTATAAGAAATACTGCAAGACCACTGATTTTATATCTGTGAACAGTCTTGTGCACTTTTCCCCAACCATTTTCTCCTCCCTTCTGAAAGGTTTGGCTCTTACTTCAACTCTTTGGAACTTTGATTCTTCCTTTTCTGCATTCCCCAGTAATCTGGCAAGTCCATTTCTCCTTGTTTACCTTACTGCAAGTTGTTAGTGCCTTCTCTAGTTCAGCACCCGTTCAGCCTTGCATATATCCCAGCATACCACATGTGGATGTGACAACACAGCAGTAACATCACACATTACCTGATACGCTGACACAGAGCACCACACAAATCTCTCAAGGACAAGAGGCTGCTCTCCATTCTTTCCCACTTGTTCAAATCACCCAGATTTTCAGCTCCCCGTGACAGATCTTCAATCTGCAGATCTGTCTCCCATCTACTTTATAAATAGGATTAAACTAGTCCAGAATCTGGAAATAGAGGTCTGCTTCTTAGTACTTTGTGAAGACAATTCCCCCTCTAAGCATTTCACAATGCACTGTAGTTCATGACAGATACTCCAAATACCATAACATAAATACAGTACTATATAGTAAATTCTGTACATGAAAATGTAATACACTAACCATAATTAGCAAACATGCCAACAAAAATCATTTAAATCTATACAACAGCTGAAACTTTCAGCTTACTCCCAAGTGACACATAATACACATGATAATTCACAAAAACCTTTCCTTCTGCAGAAGCTGACTTATAATGCCGTATTTCTAGGCAGTCCAAAAAGTCCAGCAACTCTCCTTCCTCAAACACTACAAGCTTCAGCTATATTTCCTTCCAACCTCAAGGACTGCTTAAGTGCTTGACTTGTATCACACAATCCCAGGTATTCAAAACTTGTCCCTAACTTACTATACCCAAAACTTTGAAAGCGTTATTCTTCACTTTTCTATTTTAGTTTATAGAATTAATGTCAACAAAGAAGCAAGTCCTGGGAGGTTCTTCAAGAAACGCAATTACTTCATAAATAGTAGAATTGACCCTGCAATCTCAAGCATGAATGGATACCAACAAAGGCTAGGAGAGCAGAAAAACCTTAAAAAGCTTAATGGTTTATACTGCAAGTTTTAACCACATTGTACTACCTGTGCCTCAAAAGATATATTTCAAGCATCTACAATGATCCGTTATGTTAGAAAATACAAGCAACTAGAAACCATGAAAAGACACAATGTATTTGTGTAGGAGCAGTTTAACTTCTGTAAAAAGTTGTACAGTTCAAGTAGTATATTTCATAAGGTCTAACTATACTGCAGTAATAAGATGAGATTCACAAAAACCTATTGAATCGTCATTTTACAGAACCTCTGCCCAATTCAAAAACTACAGACAATTTAGTGATCCAAATCTCTGTACAGGTTTGTTACACTCTCAGAAGTCTTAACCCAACTCAGCCAAACATCTAATGAGTCCACCACAGTCTCCTCACTGTGCATCTATGACAACTAAGCTACTAGTAATACTCTGGGTTTAACAAGGAGTCCTAGCAGAAGGACATTAGGATGAATACTCTTACCTACTTGGAACTACTTTCAGATTAAGGTACAAAGAATTGGACACAAATTTGAAGTACAACAATGATTTTATTGCACAGCTCTTCATGGTCACATACAGATCAAGAACTAGCTTAATTCCAACAAATTTACTAATCCAGAAACAGACTGCACAAAAATGGCCACCTGTTTCCAAAGCTAGTTTAGATCCAGGAACCACGTTCATGGCAAGGCACCTAAATCAGTAAATGCTGCCAGATCTTTACACAGGAACAGCTTTGTGTTTCCTTCACATTTCCAACAAACAGACACGTAAAGCAAGGAGTCCACCATGGCTGATTACCCAGCCAGTCTTGGCCTGGACTGGTTCCAAGCACTGCTCCAGGCTGCAGCAGCATTTAGGGTGCAGAGTCTGAGAAGAGGTAATAACAGTACCAGTGATTGGTTTTAGAGGTCTTTCTATGTTATGTTTCAGTACTTCAGGAGGATTTATAAACCAGGTTTGTTGCCAGGGCTTGGCATCATATTCCAGAATAGAAATATGCCTGAAATTTCAGATATAAGCACCACAAAAATACCCAATATCTGCTTTGCAGGAGATAACCCGATTTAGGAGGACTGCACTGAATCAGAGCTAGTAAGTACCCAAATTACCTAGATTACATTAGCACTCCTTTACCCTGGAGGGTAGCACATGTACTCATTTGACAGCAGCATGCTCTCTTCCCCAGCCATACTCTGAATTTACTGAATTATCCCTTAATCGGACCTGTATTTCAAATAATCATTTTGAGAGACCAAAATGAGTAGTTTACTGCCCAGAATATACATAGCACTGCTAGAGATGCTCCATTTAACACAGAAGAACAAAGGCAAACTTCTCCAGGAGTCATTCAGCTGCTGCAGATCACTCCTTGAAATCTGCATTATAAACAAGTCACATGTGCACGTGAATGCCCCTCAGCAGTTAAACATGAAGTTTTCTTGGTAGGAAATAGAATGTATGAAAAACTATTAAGGCAAAGAATTAAAACACTTATTTTCAGTGCATACACAATCTATAAAACAATCAAAGACACCACACTCATCTACATACCCTCAGCACTGTAACTATTCAGCAGCTCCAGATTATTATATCATTACACTTATGGATCTGATTTATGACACAAGTGCTTTTCTCCCCAATTTGCCTTATAGCAATCCTCATCTACTCATTCCAAAAAATAAAGGCAGAGATTTTGTCACAAGAGTAAACAGAAACCCCACATCTACATATGTAGTTTACACAGATCATTTTATATACTTCATCACTTTCTGATGTTTTTCATGTGACAGATGCCATTTACTTCAGTGTAAATGCCTAATTAACACATACACACACACACACTCAATCCCTCCACCCCTTCATCTCCAAGGAGGTAAATGTCT